TACATCTGTCAATTAGCATATTGCACGAATACTCAAAGCTTTTAAAAGTAACTTAATTCCAGGGATTCAAAATTATACAAGGGAGAATGAGAACCTATGTCTGCAGTAAATTCATTGAAACAGTTGTGAAGTTCAACGTAACCCAGTCGATGGTTTCCAATGTGGAATTTTCCTCCTTATCCAGAAGAGGAATAAATACAATAAACAAGATGACCATGACAACATCAAATTAATTAAAAATTAAATAATCTCCTGGGAACGGGGGTTCAAATAGTCCATTTTGAAAGAATTTTTCCTGTTTCCTGAAGTCATTTGTATACATGCACATAATTTCCATTTTCATAAAATTTTTGATTTTCTTATTAATATCCTTTTCAAATCACAACTCCATGTTCAATTTTGGCTAAGAAAATGCCAGAAAAATGGTCCACACAAAAAACTCTCCCCAAGAGACATTAATCAACGGTGTAGATTTTCCCACTTTGACTTTATGGAAGCTGACACCTTTGTGGTAGACATCAAAACCATTGAAAAACCTCCAATCTAATATATACAAGTGTAATATATAACATATTTATTGGAATAGGATTTCAGAGGGTGCATGTTAGGAAAATATCAATAAAGCACTTGTATTATATAACGGGGATTGATAGTCATGCTGGTTTACATGGAGAATATTGATTGAAATTCTTATATGATGTACAGGAAAATCCCAACAATGCTGATTTACATAAGATCAGATAATCCCAAGGAGCTTTCAAGGTGAGGAAGTTGGACGAGTCCGACATAATCACTAGGGAAATCACTTAGGGTTTTGTTGGCTGCAGGGGGGGAAGTTGGATGGGTATATGTAACAGATATAACAGACAATACGTGATGCTGTAGGCTCCTGTAGTAGACACAAAACAGTCTGGAAATAATACACAAAAACCCTTTAGTGTATACATATCTCGTGGTCGGGATCATCCAGTGCTGATATGTGTGCTTTGTCCAGACTAGATTCAGAGGCAGATTTTAGAGTAAATGTATATATGGAGAGAAAATCTAAATTGAGTTCCAGTTTTCATAAAAATTGCTATTATTGTATATGGTAAACAAAAATGTGCAAAATGGTAAGTTATTTTGGTAAAGAGACTGAAAATGATAAAACAGAAAAACCGCCAGTTGGGACTTGAATTTGCTGACGTCATCATGTTGTTCATGCTGCATAACAAGAGAGAAAGTATGTAATGATACTGCCTCCTGCTTGTAAGGGAATATCTTGATGAGGACTTGTATTAGTAGTAGTTTGTTAAATTTGCAAAACAGGTGAAATATTGTTGTCTGATGCATATATCTAGATCTCTCCCACATTATTTCATTACAATCACCAAAGGTCACTGTGACCTACATTTTAACCTTATTTAAAAGTGCAAAATATGTGAGATATCGCTTGTCTGGAGCAAATCCTGCACATTATTTCACCTGAGACCATCAAAGTTGGTATGCAGGTACATCTTGGGAAGATTGCAGAGTGTCATATAAGCTGGTAACGATCATTATCACATACCTATATGCAATCTTACAATAGTAGTACAACAATTTTCTGTTGATGTTTTCTGTCAGTTTGTATCACACATGTGTGATACAAGATGTTGTATCACCATACTAGCCGGAACTACTTTTTAGGGGAATTCCCTTGTCATGGCGAGCTGAAAAGTTCCCGGTAATTGCAAAAAATATCAAAATTTATAAAATCTTTGTATCTATCTCTACCAAATACGAAAGGTATGTGATTAAAGCAAGACCACACACTTTTGTTTTTCTAACGAATCAGAAAGCACGAGTTTATTGCGCAGGCTAATATATTCACGAGTGCGGGGAGTTTATTTCCTGAATGTCTCTATGAATTATGTCCATATAGTTTAGTGGTTGGAGATATTGGCAACGTGTGGCATTATTGTTCTGCTTTGTAGTGTTGGTCAAAAACACAATTTGATATTCATTAAAAACATTGTCATCGAAATATTGTCTTTTCCCACAATTTTAAGTTTCAATTGTAACTATTTGAAATTTGAAATAATACAAAATATGACTTTTCTCATAAATTGTTCTGTACCAATAACTACACATGCTTCTCGTATGAAAATATGCAGACAAGCCTTAATGTTTAATTTAGAAATAATCAATGTATGAAACAACTGCTTCAGTAATTAACAAAAATTACACATCTTGTCACAATTCCATTTTAGGGAATAATCCATTCATGTACAAATTATCTCCCCTTAGAATTGAAGAACTCTTTCATCTGGAGAAAGAATAGCGTTGGCATGGGTTTAAAATAACAAGATAACTTCATTTTTATGTGTTCAAAAGTTATGTAAATTACTGATTAATAAAATATGAATCGATGAAAATGATATATTTTTGAAAGTTTACTGATATCTGATTTTGTGCTATGTATAAGTTATATTTGTCGGCATACAATGTGGCTTCAGTCGGATAACAGGTAGCTCTGAATTACACATTGCATGAGTAGCAGTGAATCGAACCAAAGGAAACCTTATTTCAGTTCAGCATATATCCTAGATATATCTTATATGCATGTACATGTAAGTCATGTGTGGATACCTAGTTCAACCTGGTCATATTGATCATTTCAAAAATGTCATAAAAAGTTTATTAAACAGAACTTTTAGGGATGGTCGGGTGGCGCAGTGGATAGCACTCTTGCCTGTTACCAAGGCTGCTAGGGTTTGATTCCCTGATCGGTCGTGAACAAGTATTGGGTCACCAGCCCTACTTAGTGGGTTTTCTGCGGGTACTCAGGTTTCCTCCCACATCAAGACCCGTGCTAGCTAATATCTGGGCCAAAAAGAGTGATTAATAAAAGTTGAAATAAGTTGTTTCATAATTGTTGTAAAATAAATTTAAAGTTTATATATATAGAACACGCCAACAAGAGCGATTAATATAAGTTGCAATAACTTGTTTCAGAATAGTTGTAAAATAAAGTTATATATATATATAGAACAGAACATTTGATTCCCTACGTCATCGTATCTGTCCTGTGTGCTGTAATCCATTCATGTCCATGACAGCACGAGGGACTATAGTCTGGTGTAAAAAGGTATGTAAGGTAAACTGTAACATCCGGTAACTTGTATCAGAAATTTTCAAGCAAGACAGGTGTGTTTTAGTATTGTTATTGTGAAGTGTTCCTTATGTATAAACAAGTTTAAAACAGGATAAATATAACGGAGCAACATAAGCAGACAACAAGTTACTACGACGACTCGACCTGTTTAGGGTAACTGACCTTTACAGGTAAGTGACTTTACAAAAAATATCCTGAATAATCCATTTTCAATCAAATTTGTTCTCAGGATATATAGTAACTAAGTGCGAGAATCATATTTATGTAGATAAGTGTTGTGTCTGTTGACTCAATAGAAAGGCCGTCATCCATTAACTGATGCACATTACAAAAATCAAATTAGAAATTGTTTGCACCTGGTAGTAAAATTAGTTAAAGTAAGAGTGATATTCTACAAACTGTATATATATCTACGATAGTCTATTTATAGAATAGTAATTTGAGACATTTTCAAAGGCTTTCTGGTCAACATCTATTGTATACCAGGACAATTGTATGACAGTTTAAATTTTGCATTTTTCAATCTCCTCTATGAAGACAAATTTATCGCTCAAACGTAATATACATGAAATGATATTTTTTAAAACACTCGGGGCGAATATAGATTTTACCGGCAAAGGGGGAAAGTTTGTCTGGTATACAGTCAGAGTGCAGAGTCACACTCCTGTTGTACACCCAATTGTTAGATAGCTTAATACTTTATACTTAAACGATTTAGAAGTATAGCATTTTTGTGTCACTTTAATCCAGTTTAGAATGTATGGTGTGGTGTGTACGAAATACAAGGGTACACACTTGGCTGTGTGGACACTTTAGATTAGATTAGTCGACCTCTGGGAAACATCTCGGGATACCGAGTATGTACTGTGTATGTCGTACTGCAGATTAGTGTCTAGTGAGTAAATACAGAGCAGATGATACCGACATCAATGAACAAAGATTTCAAGTACACTCGTAGTAGGTACAATCAAAGTAAAGAGACCAGCTTGACCTAAAACAAACGCGTCACATTGACATTTTGTATATCAGTTTGATGATATTTTTTTCGAAAATTGTTTTTTTTACTTATAACTGAATCGTATTTAATCGGTTGAAACTTTTGAGAATCAAAAAGACGTCAACATTTCGTAAATTATTTGTCGATACAGGATGACAATGCAGTGAAGGTCAGTGTATCGGGTGGTGAGATTGTAAGGGATATTAAACAGGACACTAGCATAATTACCTGTATATAATAAAATAATCTATGCCTGCATTACACACCTGAAGTGGTGGATAACCAGGCTTGCAGTGCGTTTCCAGTTCCAATATGGTGAAACTTTAAGCATACAGGTATGTGCCGGTTTTGAAATCAAACTGAATCAAATTGATAATACAGTTTTCCATTGGCAGATTTATGTAAAACTTATGTATTTCTCTCTTTGCAACATCTCATAAGTTTGTCAGTACATTGCAATTAATTCAATTGAACATTTTGGCAAAATTAAAAACTGGGGTCTAGGGTAGGGGGATTGATCTTGAGGATGGAGCTACCCAGAAGCTGAAGAATTTAAACTTTTACAAATGACCTTTGAAGACTTGATTACCATAAGATACCTCTAGTGACATAGTTAGATTATTACAAGTGACCTTCTAATTATCTTTGAGGTAAGACAAGTTTGACCTTTGATGCCGTCTCTCACTTTAAGTGACCTTTAAATAATATTTTGACTTTTGTTACTATACATAGCCTGCATCCTTTGATGACACCAGTGGTTATGAACTCGGTACAAGTGGACTCAGTAGGTGTTAGATGGTACAGGTGGTGTTTGATGACACCAGTGGTTATGAACTCAGTACTAGTGGACTCAGTGGGTGTTAGATGTTACAGGTGGTGTTTGATGACACCAGTGGTTATGAACTCAGTACTAGTGGACTCAGTAGGTGTTAGATGGTACAGGTGGTGTTTGATGACACCAGTGGTTATGAACTCAGTACTAGTGGACTCAGTAGGTGTTAGATGGTACAGGTGGTGTTTGATGACACCAGTGGTTATGAACTCAGTACTAGTGGACTCAGTAGGTGTTAGATGGTACAGGTGGTGTTTGATGACACCAGTGGTTATGAACTCAGTACTAGTGGACTCAGTAGGTGTTAGATGGTACAGGTGGTGTTTGATGACACCAGTGGTTATGAACTCAGTACTAGTGGACTCAGTAGGTGTTAGATGGTACAGGTGGTGTTTGATGACACCAGTGGTTATGAACTCAGTACTAGTGGACTCAGTAGGTGTTAGATGGTACAGGTGGTGTTTGATGACACCAGTGGTTATGAACTCAGTACTAGTGGACTCAGTAGGTGTTAGATGGTACAGGTGGTGTTTGATGACACCAGTGGTTATGAACTCAGTACTAGTGGACTCAGTAGGTGTTAGATGGTACAGGTGGTGTTTGATGACACCAGTGGTTATGAACTCAGTACTAGTGGACTCAGTAGGTGTTAGATGGTACAGGTGGTGTTTGATGACACCAGTGGTTATGAACTCAGTACTAGTGGACTCAGTAGGTGTTAGATGGTACAGGTGGTGTTTGATGACACCAGTGGTTATGAACTCAGTACTAGTGGACTCAGTAGGTGTTAGATGGTACAGGTGGTGTTTGATGACACCAGTGGTTATGAACTCAGTACTAGTGGACTCAGTAGGTGTTAGATGGTACAGGTGGTGTTTGATGACACCAGTGGTTATGAACTCAGTACTAGTGGACTCAGTAGGTGTTAGATGGTACAGGTGGTGTTTGATGACACCAGTGGTTATGAACTCAGTACTAGTGGACTCAGTCGGTGTTAGATGGTACAGGTGGTGTTTGATGACACCAGTGGTTATGAACTCAGTACTAGTGGACTCAGTCGGTGTGAGATGGTACAGGTGGTGTTTGATGACACCAGTGGTTATGAACTCAGTACTAGTGGACTCAGTGGGTGTTAGATGGTACAGGTGGTGTTTCATGTTGCATTGTCTACTGTTTGTATGTATTGACATCTATGTTTGTGCATCTGTGATAGACGAAACGTGCTGTTGCTTTAATTTTGAATTAATATCATTGAATACGATTCCAGAATGTAAAAATGTTTTCCTTTTCTTGCCATCAGATAAATTGTTATGTAATGAAATTTTGAATCCTTTTTTTTTTAAATTTATTTTTAATACTTTTGAAAACATTTTGATGATTTTTTTTATTGTGTTTACAATTTGTAGAGGTATATAAGCAAACAGTTGCCTAGTGTCTATAACAAACTAACATGATTCAACACCTTTAGAAGGGAGTTCATAGTGGTTGACCTTTGGCGATTAGCGACCTTCTTGCACTTTCCTGAGAGTGTGTGTCTGTAGCTGATTATTCTCTGTAGGGGAGCTGTACTTATCTCCTGGGGTATTGTTATAACAGTAGATACACACAGGTATAGACAGAGGTACAACATGTCCAACACACAGGGAGATATGAAGGTGTCCATTATACATATGGATACAGGGGTGTCCATCACACAGGTAGATACAGAGTGTTACCTCTGTATCTACGAGTTGATACAGAGGTGACACACTGGTAGATACAGAGGTAACACACAGGTAGATACAGAGGTGACACACAGGTAGATACAGAGGTAGCACAAAGGTAGATACAGAGGTGACACACAGGTAGATACAGAGGTAGCACAAAGGTAGATACAGAGGTGACACACAGGTAGATACAGAGGTAGCACAAAGGTAGATACAGAGGTGACACACAGGTAGATACAGAGGTAGCACAAAGGTAGATACAGAGGTGACACACAGGTAGATACAGAGGTGACACACAGGTAGATACAGAGGTAGCACAAAGGTAGATACAGAGGTGACACACAGGTAGATACAGAGGTAGCACAAAGGTAGATACAGAGGTGACACACAGGTAGATACAGAGGTGACACACAGGTAGATACAGAGGTAGCACAAAGGTAGATACAGAGGTGACACACAGGTAGATACAGAGGTAGCACAAAGGTAGATACAGAGGTGACACACAGGTAGATACAGAGGTAGCACAAAGGTAGATACAGAGGTGACACACAGGTAGATACAGAGGTAGCACAAAGGTAGATACAGAGGTGACACACAGATAGATACAGAGGTAACACACTGGAAGATACAGAGGTAACGCACAGGTAGATACAGAGGTAACACACAGGTAGGTACAGAGGTAACACACTGGTAGATACAGATGTAACGCACAGGTAGATACAGAGGTAACACACAGATAGAGACAGAGGTAACACACAGGTAGATACATTATAACAGTAGATACACACAGGTATAGACAGAGGTACAACATGTCCAACACCCAGGGAGATATGAAGGTGTCCATTATACATATGGATACAGGGGTGTCCATCACACAGGTAGATGCAGATTTTTACCTCTTTTTCTTCGAGTTGATACAGTGGTGACACACTGGTAGATACAGAGGTAACGTACAGGTAGATACAGAGGTGACACACAGGTAGATACAGAGGTAGCACAAAGGTAGATACAGAGGTGACACACAGGTAGATACAGAGGTGACATACAGGTAGATACAGAGGTGACACACAGGTAGATACAGAGGTAGCACAAAGGTAGATACAGAGGTGACACACAGGTAGATACAGAGGTAGCACAAAGGTAGATACAGAGGTGACACACAGGTAGATACAGAGGTAGCACAAAGGTAGATACAGAGGTGACACACAGGTAGATACAGAGGTAGCACAAAGGTAGATACAGAGGTGACACACAGGTAGATACAGAGGTAGCACAAAGGTAGATACAGAGGTGACACACAGGTAGATACAGAGGTAGCACAAAGGTAGATACAGAGGTGACACACAGGTAGATACAGAGGTAGCACAAAGGTAGATACAGAGGTGACACACAGATAGATACAGAGGTAACACACTGGAAGATACAGAGGTAACACACAGGTAGATACAGAGGTAACACACAGGCAGATACAGAGGTAACACACAGGTAGATACAGAGGTAACACACAAGTAGATACAGAGGTAGCACACAGGTAGATACAGAGGTAACACACAGGTAGATACACAGGTAACACACAGGTAGATACAGAGGTAACACACTGGTAGATACAGGGGTTTCCATCACACAGGTATATACAGAGGTAACACACAGGTAGATACACAGGTAACACACAGGGAGATACAGAGGTGTCCATCACACAGGTTACACAGGTAGATACAGAGGTAACACACTGATAGGTACAGAGGTAACACACAGGTAGATACATAGGTAACACACAGGTAGATACAGAGGTGTCCATCACACAGGTTACACAGGTAGATACAGAGGTAACACACTGATAGGTACAGAGGTAACACACAGGTAGATACATAGGTACAGAGGTGACACACAGGTAGATACAGAGGTAACACACTGATAGGTACAGAGGTAACACACAGGTAGATACATAGGTACAGAGGTGACACACAGGTAGATACAGAGGTGCCATACAGGGAGATACAGAGGTGACACACAGGGAGATACAGAGGTGACACACAGGGAGATACAGAGGTAGCACAAAGGTAGATACATAGGTGACACACAGGTAGATACAGAGGCAACACACAGGCAGATACAGAGGTAACACACAAGTAGATACAGAGGTAACACACAGGTAGATAAAGAGGTAACACACAGGTAGATACAGAGGCAACACACAGGCAGATACAGAGGTAACACACAAGTAGATACAGAGGTAGAACACAGGTATATACAGAGGTAACACACAGGTAGATACACAGGTAACACACAGGGAGATACAGAGGTGTCCATCACACAGGTTACTACTAGATACAGAGGTAACACACAGGTAGACACAGGGGTAACACACAGGTAGATATAGAGGTGACACACAGGTAGATACAGACGTAACACACAGGTAGACACAGGGGTAACACACAGGTAGATATAGAGGTGACACACAGGGAGATACAGAGGTGACACACAGGGAGATACAGAGGTAGCACAAAGGTAGATACATAGGTGACACACAGGTAGATACAGTGGTAACACACAGGTAGATACCAAGGAAACACACAGGTATATACAGAGGTGACACACTGGTAGATACCAAGGAAACACACATGTAGATGAAGAGGTGACACACTGGTAGATCCAGAGGTAACACACAGGTAGATACAGAGGGACCACACAAGAAGATACACAGGTACCACACAGGTAGATACAGAGGTAACACAAAGGTAGACACAGGGGTAACACACAGATAGATATAGAGGTGACACACAGGTAGATACAGAGGTAGCACGAAGGTAGATACAGAGGTGACACACAGGTAGATCCAGAGGTAACACACTGGTAGATACAGAGTTGTCGATACAGAGGTAACACACTGGTAGATACAGAGGTAACACACTGGTAGAGACAGGGTTGTCAATCAGGTAGATACAGAGGTAACACACTGGTATATACAGAGGTAACACACTGGTAGATACAGAGTTGTCGATACAGAGGTAACACACTGGTAGATACAGAGCTAACACACTGGTAGATACAGAGGTAACACACTGGTAGATACAGAGTTGTCCATCACACAGGTAGATACAGAGGTAACACACAGGTAGATACAGAGGTAACACACAAGTAGATACAGAGGTAGCACACAGGTAGATACAGAGGTAACACACTGGTAGATACAGAGGTGTCCATCACACAGGTAGATACAGAGGTAACACACTGGTAGATACAGAGGTAACACACTGGAAGATACAGAGGTAACACACTGGTAGATACAGAGGCAACACACTGGTAGATACAGGGTTGTCAATCACACAGGTAGATACAGAGGGAACACACAGATAGATACAGAGGTAACACACAGGTAGATACAGAGGTAACACACAGATAGCTATAGAGGTAACACACTGGTAGATACAGAGGTGTCCATCATACAGGAAGATACAGAGGTAACACACAGGTAGATACAGAGGTAACACAAAGGTAGATACAGAGGTAACACACAGGTAGATACCAAGGAAACACACTGGTAGATACAGAGGTAACACACTGGTAGATACAGAGGTGTCCATCATACAGGAAGATACAGAGGTAACACACAGGTAGATACAGAGGTAGATATACAGAGGTGACACACTGGTAGATACAGAGGAAACACACAGGTAGATACATAGGTAACACACAGGGAGATACAGAGGTAACACACAGGTAGATACAGAGGTAACACAAAGGTAGATACAGAGGTGACACACAGGTAGATACAGAGGTAACACAAAGGTAGATACAGAGGTAACACACATGTAGATACAGAGGTAGATATACAGAGGTGACACACTGGTAGATACAGAGGTAACACACAGGTAGATACATAGGTAACACACAGGTAGATACAGAGGTAACACACAGGTAGATACAGAGGTGACACACAGGTAGATACAGTGGTAACACACAGGTAGATACAGTGGTAACACACAGGTATAAACTGAGGTAACACACATGTAGATACAGGGGTAACACACTGGTAGATACAGAGGTAACACACTGGTAGATACAGAGGTAACACACTGGTAGATACAGGGGTTTCCATCACACAGGTAGATACAGAGGTAACACACAGGTAGATACAGGGGTGTCCATCACACAGGTAGATACAGAGGTAACACACTGGTAGATACAGAGTTGTCGATACAGAGGTAACACACTGGTAGATACAGAGGTAACACACAGGTAGATACCAATCAAACACACAGGTAGATACAGAGGTGTCCATCACACAGGTTACTACTGGCGTGTCCAACACACAGGTAGTGACAGAGATATCGATCACACAGATAGCTGCAGCATTGTTTTAAATTTAGATGTTAGATCATACTGTAACATTAATGCAAAAAAAAATCATTCTAGCTCACAGATGTCAATGCAAGGTCATAAGCTTGCTACTTGATATTCAGACTACTGAATTGGTCGATGATTGTGTACCTGACATATGTATCGGATGAAGTATAAGTGCAGATCAGTTATCATTATATATATGATATACTTCATTGTGTGATGTGTCCTTTATACAACATGATCATGGTCCTCGTGTTGGTCATCACTTTGTATGGTCGGGTCGCACAGTGGATGAGGCACTCACTTTGCACTAGTGTAAAAACGTATGGGGTCACCTGCCTGACCACGTTGGTTTTCTCCAGACACTCTGGCTACCGCCCACATTAAGACCCCTATGCATGCTAAACTCCAGGCCAGCAAGAGTGATTAATATAACTTGTTTCATAATTGTTGTAAAATAAAAAAGCTTATAATTTATTATATTTTTTATAATCATCAACCAAATATAAATTGTGGGTACAAAGAGGTCACAGATTTAATGTAAAAAAACTTTTCAGAGTCGCTGAAGTTTTCCCAGAGGTTTTGTACGAAACATGAATAGGATTACAAAGGAATGTTTATCTAATAATCTCATATGTGGTGTGATCAGTAAATAAGGTTGTCATATTTTCTTTTGTTTCATAGATAAAATTAGTGAAATATTTGTACACCAGATTAATTTGTTTAAATACGATTGTATTATTTGTTCTGATAAGTTTGGTACTTATGGAATGTTTGACCAGGCCGATACGCTACTACTTAATATTTACGAGTGTCTGTGACCGACGTGTTCATTGATAACACTAGTACAGTACGTCATCTACTGACGTACCACGTCAGGTGTTCGTACACTTGTAGCACACGTACCATGTGGGAGAGGAAACATATTCTATACTGTACCTGTCAGAAAGCAGCCACGTGAGGGTGTGAGAAATCCCTGGCATTTCACAAGCATACCGGGAATTATGATATCACAATCAAGACAAGATACCATTCTATATAATCAGATGATGTCATGTTTTAGCTATCAACATGAGAGTTGGTTATTTTACATAATATATGAAATTTTATGTCATCTGTTGCAAAAGAATGAGAGAAAATATTTTTATACAGGTACAGTATAACCCCGATATACTGCCACCTTCCGTTTAAAACATTTTGGCAGTACAACGAGTTTGGTGGTACAACGAGTTGTCCCTGTTAAAAGACAGGTGGATGAACGCTTGTTTGTTTTGGGGCACATATCCAATACTTACCAATGAAAACTCCAATATACATGTATATAAGCAATTTTAGCGGTACAACAAGTTGTCCCCTGTTCAATGACAGGTGGATGAAGGCTTGTTTGTTTTGGGGCACAATTCCAACACTTACCAATGAAAACTCAAATATACATGTATATAAGCAATTTTTTTATATACACACCGTGTTTGAAAGAATCATTAGTTCGGAAATATTGATTTAGATCTGGTATTACAATCAGTGTTACACATGCAAGTTCTACACTTTACGAGAACCGCGGCAAAGAGTGTCAGTGATACAAGAATTCCAATTTCTGAGCTCGAGGTTAAAAGAAAAAAAGTACTGCCTAAAATCTTCAAATAAAGCTGACGAAAAGCTATTACAATCATCTCCACACACACCAAACCCACCACCATAATGGTACTCGGGTAGGAAAGTAAAAACGTTTGAATGAAAAAGACGAAATACTGCAAAAGTGGATTTTTTTTGCATTTTAACCCTTTAAACTGATCGTGGTGTGGAAATTTTCGCCCTGGTTATAGTTTTAAAATATAAATATTCAATATTATCTATGAGTAAATCTTAATATGTGGATATTGTCGCACTAATTTACTCAACGCGAAAAACATGAATATTTCCACTTTTACAATATACTCACAATTCTGACCCAAATATTTTATGAAAATATTTGTATAAACCTTGATGAATTCCATGACACGTACTGTATGTATGTGCCCGACTTACAAAAAACAAGATCTTTGGCCAGGAACAAGGCCAGTAGCAACTAGATAATGTTATCCTGCTGGGTGTTATCCCCCAACTAGTTTGATGTATTCTTTATCAGTGTGTAAACACTCTTTACTAACTTATCCTTTATCATAGCAACAGTCTGTATTATACGGTGACCAAACGACAGAAAAATTCTCATAAGACAGAGAAAAGTCCTTATTGATCCAGTACCTCGGATCATGAACCACCTGATGTGTGATCAGTGATTGACCCTGTCCCATTCTAATACAATCCTCCATCCCCCCCCCCCCCCCCCCCCCCAAAAATTTTTGTTTTGTGAATTATGACCCGATTTCACTTAATTAGGATGACTATATGAGGACAGCAATATTCTATTTGTTTGAAAACCTATACATTTTTACTGAAGGTGACTTTGAGTTGAAAAAACACCATATACATATTTAATATGTATTGTTTTAAGGCTTTACATTTAGTTTATCTCAGAAATGTAAAAAGATCTATTTGACATTTTATAGCTTATGTATTTGATAAATAATGTATATATATATGTATAACACAGATTACACCTCCTCCCAGGGGAACTAATTCTAGTGGGGGGAAAGTTGCATCAACACCTCCACTAAGCACAGCATCAGTACCACCAGTCTGTAGTGTAAACACACAGGGACACACAAGGTTATAGCAGCCATTTCACCTGCAGCTAGTGTTCAGTACTAGAGGAAGAAATACAGTACAAACAGTGTTAAATCTACACAGTGTCTGTGCAGGGGAAACATTTATCTAAACCTGGCGTTTCTCTCCAGCATGTATGGTCTATCTCTGAGGTGAATCACGTTTTAGAGGATTTTTTATCATTGAAGCCGTGCGTGGAGGTCACACTATAAAGGAAACGGTTTAACGTTAGTGTGACACTGGGGCTTGTACCTGCTGTACATTCTGGCCAGGGTAAGTTGACCAGGGGAATATTTTGTTTACTTGACAAGTGTGTGACGGCCTTGTGAACTGGACACAGGTCTAGCAGACTGTAGTCATATTGACACAAGGTGACAGGGCAATATCAATGCCCTGGATTTTTCATTTCTTTACTTTGGGAATTTGTGCAAGGAAGCTTTAAAGGGTAGGTGTATTTTTACGTTAATACTGCAGAGAAATGGGTAACGGATGTATACAATATATACAACGGTATGTGTATATTTTGTTTATCTATCTGTTAAAAAGACAAGGGTACATATGTGCTATGTTAACTTGCCATGTGTGAAAGAAATCTTTTACAAACCATGTACATTCTCCAATGGTATACAAAAACAGAGTAGATTTTCTTTACAATGTGATTTTTATATAATATACAGATCAGGGGAAACACCAACCTAGATTTAAGCCGGGCAGTACAATGGAAGTTATTGATTTGTAATGAACAAAGAATTTTTTTCATTGCAAGTGTTCACCATTTGTATGCCACTACCGTTTTCGGGTTTCTCTCGGAGAAGCTAATTCTGTTTCATGCCAGCATGAGTTCTGATGCTTACACAATTACATTAGTCCTACATGCGAGGGAGCTTAGTTCTAAATCATTAATGTTTACTTCTTACACCAAATGATGACTGATTTCCAGCAGGGTTAACCTCCGTTGGGATTGTATTACGTTTCTTATACTGATGGTGTCACGTACACATGTAAATTAGCCACGTTTATATACTTACCTATACAGTGTACTATTACTGGACCTGTCATGCGTGATCGGTCATGTGATATTGTTACATGTGTACCCGTTCAATTAGGTCAGGTATACACAGACTTGCACCCGTCAGATCACTGTATACTAGTGTTCTGTGTGTGTATAGATAATACACAGGCTAAATCTGTCTAGTGTTTAGAGAGCTCGTTCTGCATTTGTTAAAATTGACTGTTTGGAACATTAACCAGAATTTGTCTCCCAGGTAAGTGCTTTTATTAAATTATTTCACATGCAGATCCTGAAGGTTGTACTCACGTGTGGTGTGTGCATGTGAAGGTTACGTACATGCTTGTGGTCCTGTAGGATCCATATGATGTTAAGTATTGTCAGATTAAGTCTGGGTCACTTAACAACTTCTGAAGGTTTTATTCACGCGGAACAATGTTGTTCGGCAGCATACATCATGAACTCGCTGTGCTTCTGGCGATATAGAAGATGAATTTCACTTCATCCTAAAATGTCCATTATATAAAGATCTGAGATGTTAATATATCAATCGATTCTATCACAGATTAGTCCTAATGTTTTTTAAGTTAACGAAATTATTGAGTACTAAAAATGTAAAAGAATTATGCAATCTAAGAAAGTATTTATATTGTGCTTCGAGAAAATGTAGAGAAATCAATGTCAGATATGGAAAACTACTTGTGTACTTTGTAAGCTCACTCTCCACTTTATCAATTAAAATGTGTATACAAATCTCTTGTATATGTATTACATGATGTAATTGTTTNCTATCCCAAAATATTCCTACTAGTCAACCTTGCTATTATAAGTATGGCGAAAGAAAACTAAATATTATACATACCAGGTTAAGACATAAATGCAGTTCTCTTAAAGATGACCTATTCCTTGCAAACTTAGTTACTGACTCACACTGTCCAAATTGTTTACATCATTGTGAAAACGCATATCACTTCTTTTTTGAGTGCCAACGTTATGCAACTGTTCGTACTGACATGTTTCAAGTTTTAAGTAATTTAAATACACAAATAAGTTTAAAACTACTATTATTTGGAAATGAGTTGTTGGCTTTGGAGGAAAATTATTACTTATTTGATCATGTGCAAAAATTCATTAAATCCAGCGGAAGATTTTGAACTTTATGCTGATATATGTTTATTCCCGTGAAAAATTGACTTGTTTTAAAAATTGAATTTATAATTATTTGTGCCATCATTTGTCTGTAAATTTGTTATGTTAATAGGAGACGGCTTCATAAGTTGAAATAACTTGTGCCTGATCCTTTTGTGCCAATATTTGGACAATAAAATATGTTTAAAGTCAATTGTTTGACATTTAACCTATGAGTGGGATGGCTCTCGGAAATAAAGAAACTGAAGTCATTATGTGATGTGAAGGCTTTGTGCCTACTTGTTGTCCTGATCATGACCACATGTGATCACCACGTTCAGTATAATCAGATTAAGGCTGGGTCAGTTAATAGGCTACCTGTTACTTTCCATTGCTGCAGCAGAATGTGTTGTTTTGGAGGTGACAGTTATAGAGGAGAGACACTGAGATATACATAAACTGTTGTTTATAGATGTTTATATTTGTACTGTTTATATAGATATATATACTGTTTATATACCCCCATTAGGATCCAGTGTTATATGGGATTTTACCGTCTATATTACTTCTTTGACCTATACTGTTTATATAGATATATATACTGTTTATAGATATATATACTGTTTATAGAAGAATGCTGTTTGCAGTTTCATAGGGATTTGCTGTTTAGAAATATTTTGTCTTATACCCCGGTAATTCATTAATGAAAATCTTAATGTCTTCAGATATGGATTACATTTTTATGTAACGCTATTCCATGAACCATCCTGTACAACCTTGACCTTTGACATGGTCTGTTTACTTTTGATATTTGCTGCCAAGTTCCTCACTTTCCACAGATCACTATTAAAGTTGTCTCCGTCATGTGTACAAGGTACATGCTTCTTAGAAACCTAACATTTAAGTTCGCCCAAAAATGCCCATCAGTGTGCTTTGACATTTCTTGAAACCACTGTTGACCTTTGACCAATAAATTCTAAAACATCACTGTTTACTTTGACTTTTCCTGAGAAAGCTAGTTTAATCTACTATGAAAGACTTTTTTGGACCTTTGACCTAATTTTCTAGAGATAAGTTTTGATCTACATAATGTATTTTTTGAAAGACTACAGTTGACCTTAGACTAGCTAACCTCTATTATTTGAAGACCACTTTTTACCTTTTACCTAACTTCTAAACATCGATTTTGATCTACTTTGAAAGAGTATAGTTGACCTTTGACCTTACTTCTAGAGCCAATTTGATTTACTTTGAAAGACTACTGTTGACCTTTGACCTAACTTTTAGAGACCTGTTTGATCTACTTTGAAAGACTGCTGTTGACCTTTAACAATACTTCTGGAGATACATTTTTATCTACATTATATGTCTGTTGAAAGACTTCTGTTGACCTTTGACCTTTTTTAAGATAACATTGTTGACACAAGTACAAATATTATAAAACTACTGAAAATGACTTGGGTTAGATGTTGGATACATTACAGATTTTGCCTATTGTTCTCTTTTTATTAATTTTCTATGTTTTGATTTAAACGAATATCTAAAACTGAAAAGTATTAAAAAAAGTGACAAGCATTTGTTAGTGAATGGGAGTTGCTTTTAAAGCTGTCTTTAGTGGACAACAAACTGGGGGGGGGGGGGGGGGGGGTTCTACATTCACATGTGTGTCAAGCATCTGATCCTATGCTTTGATGCGTTTACAATGAAATACATAAAATGTTGGCCGGGGGTGGGTGGAGGGGATGTACAGGCATGGACTAATCATAAGTTACAGGGAGAAAGGGTAGACAGGGATCAAGTACCTACATTATAATCCACCCCTGTTTCTAGGTTTGTAGCTGTCGTTAGTATCTACATGTCCCAAAATCCTAAATGTGTCAAGAGATCTACAGGACTTCGTTTGTTTAATGTCTGTAATAATATGTTAGGGGGCACATACTTAAAAAACATGAATGGTATATACAATTAATAAATTATATATCCGGGTAGTTGAGTTTGACATAACAATTTCAAGCACTTTATTTGAATCAGATATCACATATCAATGTTAGGATTCAGATTAAAAAGTTAGTATTTTGAGTAGCAGCTAGTAATATTTTTTTTAAAGTTTATACCTACATAAATAAAGCGCTCTATTTAAAAGCTCTACAAACTATACCTGTGTAACGTATCGCATCAATAGTTTTATGTTAATTATAAGGTATCACTTTTAGACATATCCTGTATTAATGTTGAGTTGTCTTCCCTCTGTCAACTTGTAAGTGCCCATCTGTCATAGTGTCTTGTAATCAAATTGGTCCCTGTGCAGTTCCTTAACTCATTCACCCCTGAGGACTCATTTGAACTCTTCCAATTGAAAGGTTGGAATAGTTCATTATGAAATTTCAGGGATGAATGATGGAAAGGAACTGCACAGGGTCCAAAGGTAGTTAGTGGAAGGCATATCCTCATATGACACTTTGGGAAAATGCTGACTATTTGGAAAAACATGTTGAAGCAACTTAAGAAAGTATTCTTCTGTAAATGTAAGTTCTCCAAAACTTTGTACCACTGCCAAAACCTGTAACAAAGTGTTGGAAACTGCTTTCTACTACAATAGCTTTGATAAATCATTTCTGAAAAATCACCTTATGGGACTTTCATGTGAAATAGTAAAGATGAAAACAAATATGTATAATCATTAACAGTGCTTTGAGCGGGAAATGTTGAGTGATGGGGCTGGATCAGTATTTGAACACTTGACTTATAGATTATTCTACATTCGCCCTAACCAACTGTGTTACCTGGTCAATGGAAGTATCCTGGCCCAAATGTGCTGGTGTTATTTCCAAACGGAAGTTAAGAGGAGGTTACTGTATAAAGGAAACTCCATAGAGCTGTGTGACAGGGATCATTAAAAGGATTACCTGATGACAGGTACTTGATGCTGTGTTGGCAGTCGTCTTGGCCATTGCACTTCTGCTGATTACAGAAAATGCTGCGATATATAAATGTCTGTCTCATTGAAGATCATATTTTGAACAACATCGCTTGCAAGGTCATAATAACAAGGTCATATTTTGATATACGAATGTGTCAAGGTCACGTTGGCAAATACATGTTTTGATGAAAATAAATGTCAACGTCGTGATTTAGATGTTGGTGACTAGTACAGGGAAGCAAATGTATGGCCTTCCTTGTCAAGGTCATGCATTGTATTATCAGTATGGCTGATATTTTAGATGCACTCTTAACAGCTGACTGACAGACAACTTGCTATCCTGGGCAGTAAGCTTTATGTACATCCAGTGTTCACAATGTGTTAGCTGTACTCCGCTGCACTCTTGTACTCGATTCGTGTCAAAATCCTGCAAAAGCTTTTCTGAAAGTATTTATTTCATTTTTTTTGTTTTGCTTAATTCACAGGTTAAATGGTGCAACATGGCTTCCACGTGCAACACATACACAGGTCTAATGTTAGAGAATATACTAGCAATGTTGGATGTTAAAAAATTGATGATAACTCAGTCAGGACTTAAAATAAATATCCGCTGAGTGTAGAGGAATTGTCTATATATGTGGGATAATTTAGTTTTCCAGGCAATGCAAGCTTGATATTCTGTGACAGAGTAGAATCATGTTCCCTGTGGGACCCAGCTGCGGCTATATGTCTCTGGTATGTATGTACTTGGACTGTCCAGCATGACCTTTTTGTGGCCAGTACATGTGGGTTTATTTTACGTTATATGTACTTCTCAACCTATTCACCCCTAAAGTCATATTGAAACCTTACCAAATCAATGACTGGGCAAGTCCAGTTCAACATTGTAGGGGTGAATGAGTTAATCCTAATAGTCCTGTGATTAGATTGGCTTTTATTGCCTTTTCAGTTTTAACCCTGATATTCTTCTTGTTGAAAATCCTTGTGATGTAGATATGCTTCATGCCATACACAGTATTCCTGATAATTACACAACGTGGTCCCAGGTGAATTCCTGTTACTTCCTTTCTCATCTTTATAGCTATGTACCTGTTACCTTCCTTCCAAATAGACCACATGTACATCAACCCACTTCCTCTAAGACTGAGGCTGATTCAACCCTTTCCCTGTCAAAAGTGGTTACATACACCCTCAACACAAAGTAGACCACCTACCTGTCAAACAGAAACCACATCCTCTCATTTCCCCTCTGACAGAAGCCACCCTATCCTCTCCCCTCAAACAGACAACACCCAACCTCTCCTCCTTCCCTCCCATCCCATGGAGGCCACATCCACCTTCTCCCCTCAAAGACCACACCCACCCTCTCCCCTCAGAGACCACTCCCACCCACTCCCCTCAGAGACCACACCCACCCACTCCCCTCAGAGGCTACACACAATCTCTCCGCTCAGAGACCACAAACAACCTCTCCGCTCAGAAGCCAAACCTAGACTGTCCCCTCAGAGACCACACCCACACTCCCCTCAGAGACCACACCCACCCTGTCCCCTCAGAGACCACATCCACCCACTCCCCTCAGAGGCCGCACCCACCCACTCCCCTCAGAGACCACACACAACCTCTCCGCTCAGAAGCCAAACCTAGACTGTCCCCTCAGAGGCCACACCCACCCTGTCCCCTCAGAGCCCACACCCACCTTGTCCCCTCAGAGGCCACACCCACCCACTCCCCTCAGAGACTTCACCCACCCTCTCCGCTCAGAGACCCACCGTACCTCTTCCCTCACAGGCCACATCCACCCTTACCCTGATGTAGACCGGCTCTGTACACAAAAGATTGATACTATAACAGATGGTATTGATGCCTAATGCCCTCGGGAGAAGTGTAAAACTTTTAAGTCTTCTGCTATACAGCCTAATTGGTTTTTAGTCTGCTCAATAGAAACTGACTTGCTGTCAGCTTGGTCACTTGCAGTACTGTAAAATTAACACTGTTTCTATAAGACAATCAAATTTTGAAATTGAAAATTAAATTGTTCTTTTTGAGGAAATAGGTTCTTATCAGATCAACAAAAAACTTTCAAAATCAGAATCATAATGATAATTACAAAATTGATGTTTTGTTAAGCTGACATGAGCTTTTGTTTGTGCACAGGGCAGTTTCTTTCACACACAAAGATAAGACATGTCTTAGAAGGTCACTATTCTCACTGATGTAAAAGCTAGACTTGCTCAAGTCATGTTTGAGTAGAAGTCAGGGGTAAAAGGAAAATTTGTTCAAGCTTTGTCAAGGAGACCTCACATGTACAACATCAACTTGCATAAACGGACATACAAGGTAGACTTGCTCAAGTCATTTGTGTAGAGAAGTTGGTTTGGTTTGGTTTGTTCGTGCTTTACATCCTATCAACAGCTATGGTCATTTAAGGATGTGCCAGGTTTTTGCCGGTGAAGGAAAACCAGAGTTCTCGGAGAAAAACCACCGACCTGCGGCCAGTACGAGGCGACTGCCCACCGTAGGTCTTGAACCCGTGACCTAGTGGTGGAGGCCCGGGTTAGTGGTAGCAGAATGTCAGACGCCTTAACCACTTGGCCACCGCAGCCTCTCGCGAAGAGAATTCAGATATGCATGTACAAGGTAGACTTGCTCAAGTCATGAGAAGTCGGATATACATGTACAAGGTAGACTTGCATAAGTCATAAGTGTGGAAAAGTTGGACATGCAAGCAAGGCATGCGCAAGTCTTGTGTATATAGGCCAGGCGGTCCCTCAGGATATACAGCATCTCTGGGAGTGGAAGTATACAAGATAATAAACATTCATTGGTGAAGTACAGATTTAATTCAGTGATTCAGAAAAATGCCTTCAGCCACATGTACTAATGGTCATGCTGATATTTTTACAATAAACGTAGTCGGAGACACTTAATTTGTTTTCCAAAGAATAGCAAGTTCATGGCTGTATAGACTTAGAAATGTACATAAACATTAATATTTCATAGAGTTATAAAAAACGAAGAAGTTGAAAATATTTGAAAGAAGTACTGGACGTTGTAAACAAAATTCTTTTGCTTAAGGTAAAAGCTGGTCCCAACAGGTTAAACTATACCATTACCACTGTCACAATTGTAGAATATATATTTAAAACCTTTCCAAACGAACTATTGACAGAATTGTGGTTGTTCAAAATTGAAATGTACGGAAATAGAAATTATAAACGAGAATAACAAAACAGCAGGGATTGAAGGCTGAAGCTTAACAAAGACTACACCTTCTTAATAGTGTCACACAGGATTTATACACGCATATAATCAGAGTGAGTGCACGTGTCCAATTTACAGTGTATGGGGCAAACATTAAAGCATAGGAAAATCTTGACAAGGGAAGCTACTCTAAGCCAGAAAAACTCCTTTTGGTTTCTCCAACTTCTTTATTGAAGGGAGAGTACTCTAGGTCAAAAAAACTCTAGAGTGGAGCTCTTCTTTGTGATTGTAACTGATGCAGGGGTTCCCTTAACCTTAAAAATATTTCAAAATCACTGTGAAGACTTGTACATGAAGTTGTACCCTTTTCCTTAGATTATTTCAAAATCTCAATGGAAAGACTCGTACATGATATTTTATTTAGTGCCTGTAGTCTGTGATACTATACATTATTATTACCCAAGGTCCTTACCATTAGGTTGAAGTAAATGGATTACGTTGGACTTGTGTGACGTGTGTATAACCTATGATATAGGGTCACATGTCTGTGGGTGTACATACTGTTGACATTGAGTCTGAGTGGATGGTTTTCTCTCTGTTAGTTATATTTCCGGTTAGACTGTTCGTGTACTTCAAGTGCTGCTCACAGACTCTTTACCCGGCCAGTCAGTACTACGAAGTCTAGAGAAATCCCTGTTTACTAAACACACTTTCTAGATCTCGAACAAAAGGACTGCAGGGGATATTTTACCTATTTTGATTTTATTGATTTTATTTTATTTCCCAGTTCAGCCCTTCTCTTCGATTTCAAAAGAAGAGGCAGCAAGTTGGTTCTATGGCCCACTTCTATTACCATTGTACAAGAAGTCTCTGACGCTGCATCTTTTATATTGTATCTATCAATTATCCCATGATATACAAATTAAGAACAGTCTTTCCTGAAATTAATACAAAAAGTTTAATCTTTCAAAATATATGTGAGGTACAGTACCCGGATCTAGTTTACTGTACTACATATATATATAACAGAGGACAAGATTGACTTACTCTGCTGGTATACAATTATCTTATCATATACAGGACAGTGTATTGGATTAAGGTACAGTGCATAGTAAACGTGACGTGATCATAGCTTACAGTAACACTAAGGGTACAGAAACATGGCAGTTAATTATATGTAAAGACACAAACATCTCACTCTTGTTGATCTTCATCTACTAACTGTTGATCTGTAGTGGTCTGAAGGTTGTCTGGTGTAAAGGTTTACTGGAGGTTGAGGGTTGGTTTGTAGTGGTCTGAAGGTTGTCTGGTGTAAGGTTTACTTGGGGTTGAGGGTTGATTTGTGGTGTTCTGAAGGTTGTCTGGTGTAAAGGTTTACTAGGAGTTGAGGGCTGATTTGTAGTGGTCTGGAGGTTGTCTGGTATAAAGGTTTACTAGGGGTTGAGGGTTGATCTGTAGTGGTCTGAAGGTTGTCTGGTGTAAGGTTTACTGGGGGTTGAGGCCATCTTGTGTGAAGTCTGGTCAACTTGGGTATTCTTCAGACATGTGATTGGTGCAACCTTGATTTATGTAAGAGTTATGCCCCTTGAATTATTAACCATCTTGTGGAAAGCTTGGCAAAATGAGTTATTTTGATATTAAGATTAGGGATCGGTGCAAACTTACACATAGCTTTGTCCCCTGATCACTTATGTATTATTGACATTATATAATCTTCCAAAGCCAGCTTTTGGTAAATTAAGACATAGGATTAGTATAATCTTAAATTTATGTAGAGTTATGTCCCCTGAATTATTATCTGTACTTGACGTTATATATATATAGTAGGAATCAAAGCCTTCTTGTAGAAAGCCTTTTAAACCTTCCAGAATTACTATGACTTGAATTAATTATGCTGTCTTATAACTACAACCTCAACCCTCTACCTGACTTTATGTTGATATATTTATTGTTATAAGATTGGAGGAATTTATTTTAGATGTGAACTTTATTGTTGGTAAGTAGTAGGAATCTTATGGTACAAGATTACTATAATAAACAACAGTACCAGTTCTAATGACATGCCCTAGATACCCGGCATAACTTCCAGCTAGGTTTGGTAAGTGTTCCTGTAAAAACAACTCATCTTGTATCTCCCACACTGCCAGGTCTACAGCAGGTTCTGGTCTAGACCTGTCTCCATCACCTTGGGGACCTGACCTTGTATCTCCAACACTGCCAGGTCTACAGCAGGTTCTGGGCTAGACCTGTCTCCATCACCTTGGGTACCTGACCTTGTATCTCCCACACTGCCAGGTGTACAGCAGGTTCTGGTCTATACCTGGCTACATCACCTGACGTACCTGACCTTGTATGTCCCACAGTGCCAGGTCTACAGCAGGTTCTGGTCTATCCCTGTCTACATCACCTGGCGTACCTGCCCTTGTATCTCCCACACTGCCAGGTCTGCAGCAGGTTCTGGTCTAGACCTGTCTACATCACCTGACGTACCTGACCTTGTATGTCCCACACTGCCAGGTCTACAGCAGGTTCTGGTCTAGACCTGTCTCCATCACCTTGGGTACCTGACCTTGTATCTCCAACACTGCCAGGTCTACAGCAGGTTCTGGTCTATACCTGTCTACATCACCTTGGGTACCTGACCTTGTATCTCCCACACTGCCAGGTCTACAGTAGGTTCTGGTCTATACCTGTCTACATCACCTGGCATATACGTACCTGACCTTGGATCTCCCACACTGCCAGGTCTACAGCAGGTTCTGGTCTATACCTGTCTACATCACCTGGCGTACCTGACCTTGTATCTCCCACACTGCCAGGTCTACAGCAGGTTCTGGTCTCTACCTCTGTCTACATCACCTGGTGTACCTGACCTTGTATCTCCCACACTGCCAGGTCTACAGCAGGTTCTGGTCTCTACCTCTGTCTACATCACCTGGTGTCCCTGACCTTGTATCTCCCACACTGCCAGGTCTACATCAGGTTCTGGTCTATACCTGTCTACATCACCTGCCGTACCTGACCTTGTATGTCCCACACTGCCAGGTCTACAGCAGGTTCTGGTCTTTACCTGTCTACATAACCTGGCATACCTGACCTTGTATCTCCCACACTGCAAGGCCTACAGCAGGTTCTGGTCTTTACCTGTCTACATCACATGGCATACCTGACCTTGTATCTCCCACACTGCCAGGTCTACGGCAGGTTCTGGTCTATACCTGTCTACATCACCTAGCGTACCTGACCTTGTATCTCCCACACTGCCAGGGCTACAGCAGGTTCTGGTCTCTACCTCTGTCTACATCACCTTGTGTACCTGACCTTGTATCTCCCACACTGCCAGATCTACAGCAGGTTCTGGTCTATACCTGTCTACATCACCTAGCGTACCTGACCTTGTATCTCCCACACTGCCAGGACTACAGCAGGTTCTGGACTATACCTGTCTACATCACCTGGCATATACGTACCTGACCTTGTTTCTCCCCCACTGCCAGGTCTACAGCAGGTTCTGGTCTATACCTGTCTACATCACCTGGCATATACGTACCTGACCTTGTATCTCCCACACTGCCAGGTCTACAGCAGGTTTTGGTCTAGACCTGTCTC